ACAATGTCATACAACAGGTTTGGAATAAATTTAGCCAAACACATAAAATTGAAATAGATTGGGTTCCATTTGCACCTACCCATCCATTTCTGCTTTAACTCTGCAAAATGTTTTCGTGGTTATATTTTACCTGCCCTTATACACATTATCTACCATAGGCTCTCTGTGAATGACCAACTTGTGGAAAAAGACAAAAACCAATAGTTTCTATTTCCAAGTCCAAACCAGTTATACCTTTTGCATCATTCCTCCCTTAGAGCTAAACCAAGGGCCCTTTCCAGGGCTGTGCTAATGTTGATGCCTGAGCTTACAAAGGATAGCAATATACCAGTAAACAAGCCTTTTCCTTCCAGCTCCAAAGTATAGGGAACTGGGAGTCTCAGAAAAGATCACCTGCTCATTTTATCATTCCCAGCTGCTATATAAGCCCAGATCTTTTCATGCATCATTGTGCCACTACCAAGAAAATTTTTTTTAAAAAAATACATCACGCTTCAAGTTTGTAAAACCCTACTGCTCTTCTGTGCATTTAATTATTAATGAACAAATTATTAAACAATTATTGTAATAATTATTATGAAATAAATATATCAATATATTAATAATATATCAAATAAATATTATACTATATCAATTGTATTAAAATATGATAGTAGATAAAAATAGTGCACGAGCCCATCAGTGACTTTCCACTAATGGCAAGAGTTTCATCATCAGCTTCTGTTGTCCCGGCTTGTTCTGCAGCACCACCTGTGAGTAGGAACAAACCATGAGTGCTGAGCAAGCAGACTAAAGAACTGCAAAGCAGACGTCTCTCAATGACTTTGGAAGCTGTGAAACTAATTTCTCACCCTGGGAGTGGAATATGTTTCTGCCTTACTCCTGAGTGCCCCAGTAGCAAATTTATGAACTTGAGTACAAACAAAAATTAGTTCACGCTTCACCTGAATAAGAGATAATCTGCTTTTATTCAGTGTTTATTAAGAAACGAAAACAAACAAAAAGACCAGAAAAATATCCTTTCTTAAAGCAGTTAACTGCTGTAAAGCACAAAGTTGTACATTCTAGATGTACAAGCTCCTATTCATAGGAAAATGAGGTGGGACAGGAATAGGAAATCTAGGAGGCTTAAAAGTTTTCTCCAGAAACCATGATAGTCAGCAGAAAACAATTGGAAGTATTGCATACTAAATATCTGAAATCTGACCACATACTGGAATTGTAGCTGACATTTGAGCATCAAAAAATATGAATGAAATGATAAGAAACATATCCTGACCTGATGGAGGAAAAAAATATTCAAAGTCAACTTCTAGGATTGAAAATCTTTATCTGTGACAGAAGTAAAACTTTTTATTCTGTTAACTGGTCAATGAGATGTCAAGAGCAGTATTTAATTCTTGAAGCCCAAAACTGTTTTCTCAGAAAGAAAAACTAAAAAGTATGCAATCTAAGGGAGCTGTTTTATGTGATCGGTTGGACCAATATTACACAGGGAGAGCCTATGTACCAGTGCACTGACTGCACTCTATTTGTGTTCTCCTAAGGAACGTAGACCCAAAGACTCAAGCCACATGACCTGTAGCTCAAAGATCTGAGAGGCATCCAAGTGACTTAGTGGTTACAGCGTTGGACCTGGAGTCAGGAAGGCTTGAGTTCAAATCCAGCCCCAGATGCTTACAAGTTGTGTCACCCTGGGCAAGTCACTAAACTTCTGCCTGTCTCAGGTTCGTTATTTTTAAAATGGGGACAATAATAGTACTTACCTCTCAGGGCTGTTGCAAGGATCAAAAGAGGTACATCTTAAAGCACCATAGAAATACCTACTATTGTTAATGAATTTCATTCAGTACTAAGTATGGTAGTTAATCAGGAGTTCAGTTCAGGAGGCATAGGAGAAACAACTTTTGGACTGCTTTCCTCCCTCCTCTATTACTAGAGACGGGGGACTATGGGTATGGAATATAGCACATGGCATCAATCAGTTTTGTTAAACTGCTATTTTTTTCACTTTTTATTTGTTCTTACAAGGCGTGGCTGACTGAGGTAGGGGAAAGAGAGGAGTATATATGGAAATAAAGTTGATATAAGCAAAATATATGAATAAAATTTAATTTTAAAATCATACCTATTTTTAAAAATAAATTTAAGACAAATTTCTATTTATTTTATTACAAATTTTGTATTATAGAGCATAATATATTACATACAATAATTATGTATAATTATTATATATTATTTTCATATCATCATAAAATAAATCTCACTTAAATAAATTTTGTTTAAATTTAAAATAAACTTTATTGATATCTTTTGTTTTTATATCGCCTAAATTTCCCTCCTCTATTCTTCTCCTACCTACTTCCAGGTTATCTCTTATCAAATAATTTTCAAAATTAAAAAAAAAGGAAGAAGAAAAAGTTGATGAAAACTGATCAGTAGATTGAAATAAATCTGACAATATATGCAGTGTTCTGTACCTCTGGAATCCCCATCTCAGTAAAGGAGTAAGGGCAGATGTTGTTTCATATCTCTTTAGAACCAAGCTTGTTCTGTGTAATTTTGTAACATTTTTTCTATGTATATTGTTGTAGTCACTGTGTATATGTTTTCCTGGTTCTACTTACTTTACATTGCATCAGTTCATGCACGTCTTTACATGCTTCTCTGTATTTGATATGTTCATCATTTCTTACAGTACAGTAATATTTCATTGTATCTGTAGTTACCACATTTTGTTAGCTATTCCTTAAATGACTGGCTTCTACTTTGTTTCCAATTTTCTGCTGCCTCCAAAAGTACTGAGGTATACACACACACACACACACACACACACACACACATACATATATATGTATATGTATCACATTTTCAAAGAACACTTGAACTAGAAGTGAGAAGAGCTATAGTTTTGTACTACATCTTCCAGCTGTGTGATGTTTTGCAAGTCATTTCACTGCTTTGACTCAGATTTTCCATCTGCTTTAAGGGAACACAATACTTGTCCTCTCTGCTCATAAAGTTGTATGAGATTATATATGTAAAAGTACTTTGTAAGTAATTTTAAATAAATATTAGGGGGTCATTGACTGAAAGAACTGAGAAGAACAAGTTCTTAGGGCACATGCAGTGATTAAATGGTAATTTAAGAGTAGTTAGTGGAAGTTCATATATACATCAAAGTTTGCAGAGCATTTTATATAAATTATCTCATTTTATCCTCATCACAACCCTGAGAGTTAATTGCTCTAGATATCATTACCCCATTTTACAGATGAGAAAACTGAAGTTCACTGACATTAAGAGATATGGTCATGATCAAAAAGGTGCTAAATGTTGGGGAAAGGATTGGAAAACTCACATTTAGTGAATTAATCATTTCCCCAGTTACTAGAGTTAACATGATTCTCACAGGGCTCCCAATGTCCAGTTGGTTTATGATCTTTTCATTGCTATTGTAATACTAATGTGATAATACTAATAAGCAGCATTTGGTCTTCAAATATTTAATGACTGTGGGAAGGAGGTGCTATTATTATCCCCATTTGATAGATAAGGAAGCTAAGGCATAGGGATAAGTGGCTTCTTCAGCTTCACACAACCAGTATGACCAAGTCTGGATTTGAACTTGCATCTTCCTGAGTCTGGCTTTAGCACTCTATGGCATCTGGAAACAACAGGCTGCCTCAGGAAGCTGATATGTAAAGTGCTATATGAGTGATAGCTATTATTATAGTTATTAATTATATAATACTTTTAAGTTTCCAAAGTCCATTATGTACATCATCTCATCTGATCCTATGACAGCTCTTCAAAGGAGGTACTGCAGGGATTATTATTCCCATTTTGCAGTCTAAAACTAAGACAGGTAAATACTCTAAATCATAGGATTATAGATTTAAAGCTAGAAGGGACCTTGGAGTCTATTTAATCCAATTCCTTTATTTTACCTAGGAGGAACTGAAGCTTCAAGAAGGGAGGTGACCTGCTCAAGGACACACAGATGGTAAGTCAGTACAGCATTCTTTCACAGTATGTTACAGAACCCCAGAGAAAAGAAGAGTTTTCCTCTCTTTATATTTATTTTGCCTCTGAATGGTATTCTCTCTCCTCACCCCACCCCCAACTTTCCTAAAAGCGAACAGTTAAAAAAAATTAACAAAATTCCTATAAGGATTTTTCTACATAAATGAAAATATGGTCTCAAAAGTACAAAATAAAACCTTTTGCCAAAGTTGCTTAAAAAAAAAAGGAGGGAGGAAGAAGGATGACAAATGTGAATTTTGTTCTGCTGATTTTCTGGTTGACATGCTGTGTGATAGCATGGCCAGAGGGGGGCAGCAGAAGGAAGAACTAAAATACAGATTATCCATAAAAGAAATGATCATGAATTATTTTAGAACTAACTTTCTCCATTAAAATTCAGATCCATAAAATGTTAGCCTTGAAAGGAGCCCTAGAAATAACCTACAGTACATTCCCTGCCTTTTCCACCCTTTTCCCACTTTTCTTTTTAAATTAGTAATTTGAGACAAAAAGTTTATAAGATTGATTTAGTGCTGGAAGGGACCTTAGAGAACAGAGTGCACTTACACCAAAAAGAGGAAATAATGCCATCAAAATTGGAAAACAATAAGGAAAAATTAAGTTGTTTACAAAAGAGCAATAAGAAAAAATTTTTTAAAAATTCACAGGAAAAAAAACAAAGGAATTGCGAAAGAGACACACAGAGCAGTTTTGTTACTGTCTTATTAAATTATATATCATATATGTGTGTGCATATATATATATATTATATATATATACACACACAGACATACACATATACATGCTTCTTAAAAACAAACTTTATATAATAGAAGTTAAATTTCTTATTCATGTTTCTGGTTTTCTTTGTCCAATGAAATATTTTATTGATGATTGCTAAGTTCATAATAAAAGAGAAATTTAATTATAAATTTAAAAACAAGATATACATGTCTCTGCTATAATTCTGTTACCTTGAAGGTCTGAATGGCTTCTTGGTGGATCAGTCCTTGTAGGGATTCTCTATTTACTTCTAGGATTTCATCCCCTAATAATCCAAAGTAAGACCAAGTTAACATTCATCTAAGCCTACAGGAATGTACTAACTAGGCCATCGGGTGTAATGGGCTACCATAAGGTTTGATTTATTATGTGGCATAAGATGACTCTTATTGTTGCAATCTATTTTCATTTGTTTCAGCTCCTAGGGGGGTAATACAACCAGTCAATTAATGATAGGGAGAGTGTTTTTTAAATTTGTTTTTTTGCGTTTTTGGTGAGGCAGTTGGGGTTAAGTGACTTGCCCAGGGTCACGCAGCTAGTAAGTGTCATGTGTCTGAGGCCATATTTGAACTCAGTCCTCTTGACTCCGAGGCTGGATCTCTATCCACTGCACCACTTAGCTACCCCAGAGAGAGTTCTTCATCAGCAATCCCAGACCTTAGTCTTTGATGAAAACAAACTTCTAGAAACATTACTTGATTTAATTCAGCAAGCATTCCATTAAGCATCCACTGGGGACCTGCATTAAGTGCTGGGGATAAAATAACTAAAACAAATAACGTTTCCCTCCCCCACAGAGCATACCTTCTCCTGGTGTGTAAACTATAGGCTTTATTTCCTTGCCAAATTCTCAGTTTGGCAGTAAATGTCCTATTGCCAGGAGTTAAAATGTGATGACACCAGAGGCAGTCTGTTTTCATCACTACCTAACACCAGCAAGGAAGCATTAGCACATAGCATTTGCCAGGCCACTCCTACATGCATAGGAGGCCAAGCTGCCCAAGTCACCACCATGCTTGGGCCATAGTTACTGAGGACACTGGGACAAAGACTATGGGACCTGAAGCGCAAAGACCAAGGTAGCTCCACCTTTAGAAATCACCCAGTTTTCCAGTGCCTGCCTTCTTAATGACATTTCCAGGTTCTCAGTCATTGAGCTTGAAGGGCATTGTGTGCTTCTATCTAGATGGCTGTGTGATGTCAGATTTTTCCCTAATAATTCTAGACACATCTTCTTCACCAAAAAAAAAGCATGGCTAGGGCATTTGCAGAGCTGCTGTGAGTCCTGCTTCTCATCTATAATAAGGTTAGTGCCCAGTGTGTACCATGTGACATTCATGGCTCATCAGTCTGTTCCTTGGCATCACAGCAACAAAAACAAATAAACAAAAAAATGGACCAACAGAACGTTTAGCTCTGAAGTCCCATAAGTTGCCCCATAAGCCTGCAAAACACTTTTGTTATAAAACTCAAAGTCTGGTTTCACATTCCACTTTTATGCTAGATCCTCAGTCTCCGTCCCTTCTTATGTAAAATGGAGATCTTGTGATTAGCTGTCACAGCTCACTGGGATTTAAAAGGGTCGATAAATTTGAGCCATTTCCAGGCCTACACAGGAGAAGTACATTGTAGGCACTGAAGAACCATTATTTCCACATCTGTTTATTTCTACCTGTCCCATTTCAAATGTATCATGTATAAAATGGTTATATAAAAAGACTCATTTATGGAAAATGTTACTGAGAACAAGATACTAGAATCTCTTTATGTGATTACTTCTTAAACTGAGACATGCCAACCATCACTTCAAAATTCACAAGTGCCTGTCCAAGAGAATAGTCCTGTCTTCCCACAACTTATTTTTCCTAGCTCAGTTAATCACAAAGACTCTGACAGTGGAGCAGTGAGTTCTGACTGTTCTACAGGGGAAATGATCAGCAATGATCTGAATGTCAGAGGTGAATGTGCAGCTGCCATACCTAAGACACGGGAGGAACTGGCCTCTTTGCTATCTCGGTGAGTGGAACGAGCTATTGCTTCATCCATCTGTTCAGAAACCTGAATTGGAGCAGAAGGCAGAATTAGGGGCTTTTTTGCTGAACACAAGACACCGAAATCATAGAATGAGCAATGCCTCTGTAGGATAAAGCAAATCCATAGCAGAGTCAAACCTCACAATCATTCTTTGTCTTAATAACTTAGTGACATATGAGAAGTAAATAGATGAAGACAGATTAACAGATGGCTTCACAAAATCCCTCCTTGGGAATTCTAGTTACTATCCTGCTGATCTGCCACTGAATGAACTTGGTATCTGACTCCAACTGTTAAGATCTCCCTTCAGTGGCTCTCTCTTCATTTTCTTAGCTGCTTCTGCCCACAGACTCAGGGTTACTCAAGCCCTGGCATTAGTTCTGTCCTAAGGTCCTGGATTTGGGAAGACTCTGGCTGCATCAGCATCTTCCTCTGTCATTAGGTTCCCTCTAAAGCAGGTGCCTTGGTAAACTTCTTTTTTGTCTTTTCTGGACCTCAAACTTACTGCCTGCTCTCCTGCTTGGCGCCTCCATAGTACTTGGCTTTTCTGTTCCTCCTGGCTCCTCCCCATGATGATCTTGCCCTGCTACCACCCACAGTTTTATTTGGTCCTGTCTGTAAACGTGTCCTCGTACCCTGGAAAAGCCCATAACATTTGACATTGATTTCCCATTTGGAATGTGGAATGGACTCCCTTTGCCTGAGCCAACTTGACATCAAAGGACCTGAATGCTCTGTCTACGATTTGTGGGTCATCACTAATCTAGGAATTTTTTATTATCATGTTAGGATTGAAAATCTGTATTGATTTATATGTGTGTGTATAGGGAGGAGAGAGACAGGGAGGGAGACGGAAAAAGGGAGAAGGGGGAGAGAGAGAGAGAGAGAGACAGACAGACAGAGAGACAGAGAGAGACAGAGAGAATGAAAATGAGAAAGGAAGGAAGAGGGAGAGAAAGAAGGAAAGAAAACAAGGGGAGTGAGAGAGAGATGGAATGTGTATTCCCTGATTTTACTGATGAGGAAACTGAGGTTCCAGAAGGGTTGAGCGACTTGCCCAAGGTCACAGAAATAGTTACATAGAAGAGTTAGGTTTCAAACTCAGGCAGGGCGTGGCTCTGGAGTCAAAACACTTAGATTCAAATCCGGCCCCTGAAGCTTAATACTTGGTGACCCTGGGCTCAGAGTCACTCATCTTCCTCAGGCTTTGGTTTCCTTAAAGTAAAATGGGGAGGTTGGGGGTCTGTGCTGATGATACCTGTCTCCTCTGGATCCAAATCCAGCACTCTTGCTACTGTACCACATTTCCTCTCAGTTGCTGACATGGAAGTATGGTCCATAGTGGAGCGGGTCAATCTGAATTTCTTTGTGTGCTCAATCAGTTTTAGTTCTGCTGCTATATGCTACCTCCAGGAGCCACCACAGAGAGAAAAACGAGGTTTTTTCCCCCCCCATATGCTATTTCAGCAGCTGATGATGGGAGACAAACACCTACCCCACCCTACCCCCACCCTCACCCCTAACTGTATTGGTTATGATCTGCCGAGCTTTGGAGGGCTCATCAGTAGCACTGGACTGAGGGTCAGGAAGACTTGGGTTCTACTCCTGCCATGGGCAGGTCACTTTAACTCTTTGAGACTTGTTTTCTTTATCTGTAAAGTGGTGGTTGCCTACAGTACTGACCTCACAGGGTTGTTTTGTATGTAAAGAGTAGTCTGACTTACATCCCAGAAAAAATTCTCTCTACAGGACACCTCACAAGTAGTTATATTTATAACTTTTGCTTAAAAGTCTCCAATGAGGGGAAACCCAGTGCCAGTTGTAAGCAGTCTATTCCATCTGGGGATACCTTTAATCCTGAGGAAGTTTTCCTTTAAACTGAATTTAAATTACTCTTTTCTACATGTCTACTTCATGGTTTCTAACTCTTTTCTTCTTTGGGGCGAAGCAGAATAAGTGTGATCCCTCTTCTAGAGGAGAGATCTTCAAACATTTGAAGGCAGGTATGTCTAAATATCCCCAGTTCCTTCAGCTGACAGTCATTATGGCAGGACCTAAAGGTCCTTCATCTTCTTTTATATTTCTTATAGATGTAAGGTTATAATTATGTAATATAATAATAAATATAATAAATAATAAATATAATCAAAATGTAATAATGCCTTCAGATCAAGGATTATTTCATTGTTAATTGTTTTTTGCCTTTATCTCTTCAGCACTTAGAAGACTGTCTGACACATAGCAGGTACTTAATCAATACCTGCTCACTGATTGGCTCTGGTTGCCCTCTTCTGGACACCCTGTGGGTTCCCAATGTCCTTAAAATGTGGCACACAGACATGAATACAATACTGTTTAACTGGGACAAAATATGGGAGTATACAATTAGCTCATTATTCCTTGAATATTTTCTTCTTTCCATGGAAACTAAAATGAATTATCTTTAGAAGACTAATTTTTAGTAAGTTCCAATTCGGGACAATTTTTTTCATGCTTATTGTGATGATTTACATACTTAAATATTCAGTGCTTGAACTTTTAGAAAGTTCTCATGAAACTGATTTTTGAATACAAAAGCAGAGGGGATGTGGTTTTACTTTAATATAGCTTTTTCAAGTGCCCACATAATATATGTAAAGATAAAAGTGATACTTTGGAGAAAAATCCAAGGATGGGCTTTAATCTTTAAATATATGGATTTAAATAGAATTAGGTATGAAGTTTGACTGCTGAAGAAAAAGTTATACTCGTGTCTTGACTTTTACATAATATATTTCAAATATTCTTATTCAAATTGACAGAAAGCACTTGTGAAGGTATTTTCTAAAAAGTAACTTCCTTAAGTATACAACCCTAAGTGAAGGCAAAATCTAATTTTAAATGAAAGAGCCAGGAAAAACATTAGCCTTAGAAACACTGGCTGGTTTTCTCCTCGATTTGGTTTTACCATGATTCCAGACTTTCAACATTTGCAAATTTAAGAGTTATTTCTTTGAGATGAAAAATAGAAAAAATAATAACGCTCTTGACTTTTTTAAACATATGAACTACTTCTTGTAGAGTTCTAAACAAGCCGAGAGACCCACCCACTTGCCCTTCATTCCAGCACACTTTAGAAGTACTGCCTATTTCACTTCACATAAGATAGAAGTAGCACCAGAAACAGGTCCAGCACCTCAGCCACTCTGCCCTCAGACAATTTGACTAATCCCAGAATGCAACTCAGCAACCATTATGAGTAACAGAAGAAAAGAAAATCACTGTGGTGTTTGTCTTGGAAAACCATGAAAACTATTGAGATCCAAATGTTCAGTAACAGAATGTACTATTGCCCTGAAAGCTGGGGCAACATGAAAACATATTATACAAAAAAATGGGACTTTGACCATGATAAAAATCCAGGATAGCGTTACAGCTAAGAGCGTCATATTGACTTCCAAAGGAGATGAAGCCGATGAAAATAATTCATTTTCCTGAGACATACTCTGAGTTTTTCTAAGATATCTGTAGATGACTTGTAGTGAAGTATCCCAGCACCACCCACCATGAGAAATTGTTACGTTGGAACTAGAAATATGAACTAGCATGCATTTGTTAGTGGGCAACAGACCTTACCTGGCTTGGTCAAGGTCATTCTAAGGACTGAAAAGCCCTTTAGCGGTTTCATGGTACTGGCAAACTCCATTGTTCTAAGATGAGCTGAGTTTCAGAATTGGTCATGGTTCAGTGTTCTCCTGGAAAGGACTGTGAAGTCCAAACCACAAGGAAGAGTTGCTGGTTGCAAACACCACTAAGAACTTTAATTATTTGCTGAAGAGTATAATAGTGGAGTCATCTCCTTGGTGGGGGGCAGGTAGATGGTACAATGGATAGAGTGCTGAACCTGGAGTTAGGAAGACACACTCATCTTCCTGAGTTCAAATCCAGCCTCTGCTACCTGTAATCTGTGTGACCTTGAGAATCACTTAACCATGATTGCCTCAGTTTCCTCATCTATAAACTGAGCTGAAGAAGGAAATGGCAAAGCACTCCAGTATCTTTACCAAGAAAACCCCAAATGGGGTCACGAAGAGTCAGACATGACTGAGAAATGAGAAAAACAACAAAATTTTGGTCAGGAAAAAGAAAGTATGTTTCTAAAGGGTGATGGTAGCTAAGTGGCTGGTTAGGGCTTGCTTGATGGCTGAGGCCCTTGAAAAAGATCAAAGCCATTTCATCAAATATCTGAGCAATGAGGCTGAGCAATATCAAAACTGTTAATCAGGAAGAGAAACAGAGGCAAGAGGAGAATAGATTGATCAAAGAGCAGAAGAGTCAGATGAGAAAGGTAAGATTCTTCAGCATGATGATTACCAAGAGAAAAAAATAGCTAGTATATACGTAATGCTTCCAAGGTCTCTAGATATTATTATAGATATTATCTCACTTAATGCTTACAACTTTGAGAAGTAGGCACTATTATTCTCCCTGTATTACAGAAGACACTGTAATTTTACAGATGAAACTTGCCCAGGGTCACACAACTAACAAGTGTCAGAAGCTGGATTTGTACTAAGTCTTCCTGACTCTAGATCTAGCTCCCTACCCTCTGTACCCCCTGGGCGTCAAGAGGACAAAAGTGCAAAAGATTGATTAATAGAAAGACAAACAAGCTAGAAGGGAATTAAGGAAGATACCTAGAGAAGGACCCCAGATCTCCTATTTCATACCATATTTTTGTCTGCCTATCTAGAAATCTGCTATCCAGCAAGCTGATGTAACCAGAATCTATGCGAGAACTAGAAGGAAGCAAAAAAAACCACCTGTGAGAATCCAAAAGCAGTGCCAGAAGCTTCATGTACTTTATGTCAAGGACCATCTTTCTGACCTTTGCTCAAACCCTACTTAGTCTGGCATCTACACCCAGTTTAATCAATCTTAGACATCTGATTTCTCAACCCATAGAAGATCAGCACATCAAACTGGATAGATCCTAAGATTTATAATTAGAAAATTCTGGGGCAGCTGGGTGGCTCAGTGGATAGAGCCCTGGCCCTGAAGTCAGGAGGACCTGAGTTGAAATCTGGCTTCAGACCAAACACTTGACAGTTACTAGCTGTGTGACCCTGGGCAAGTCACTTAACCCCAATTGCCTAAAAACAAACCCAAAAGACAAAACAACAAAAAAACAACCAAGAATTAGAAAATTCTAAAACTTAAGAAAGGTCATTTGGTCCTAACCCTCAGGAAACTGAGGCTCAGAGAGGTTGAGTGATTTGATTAATGACACGCAAGTAGTAGGTGCCAGAGTCATGATTTGAATCCAGATTCTCTGTCTCCAAATCCATTATTCTCTGAAGCCAGGCAGGGAGGAGGGTTGGGAGGGTATGGCAGAGCTGCCCAAGACACTGTTGAAAGATGTGAAAGCCAATAATCAGAGAACAGAAATGATTAAGGCATGGATGGGCTGCTATTTGTATGGTTCATAAGTTCATAACATTGTTAAAAAATGGTGGACATTTTCCCTGTAACACATTGCTTGCACATTAGATTTCCCTTCTATTGGAAACATGATAATAGGATTGACAATAAACTCTCACCTCCTTTTCACAGTGGAAAGGGCAGTGGATTCGAAGGTAAAATAGTCAAAACCTTCTTCCTTCAAATGACTAGGTCTGTGAACCTGGCAAGTCACTGTAGCTCTTTGGGCCTCAGTTTCCTTGTTTGCAAAATGAAAGGGTTTCCTCCAATGTGATAAGTCCTATGACCCAGTGTTTTCTTTATCTTCCTCTAGCCTTGTGCAACCTCCTCCTCTTCTTGCCCTTCTCCCTGCCTCCCCCACATGCCTGAATCTCTCCTCACGTCTCGGTACCAGTATCACTTGAGACAAGTGCTCTGTGTGATAAGGTTCTCAGGCTAAGCCCAGAGACCCCCACCATGGGAGGGGAGGAGAGTGGGGAAAATACCCCCAGAGCCTGCTCCAAATTATAGCCTGATAAGTTCACAATTGTCTAATCATTTAAATGTTTATTCAATTAGAAAATCATTATTGATCCCTAGTACATTATACTTCCTATCACCATGCAGATAGGCAGTGAAAAAATTTTGATGTTGAAGGATCTGGGTTCAAATCCTATCTCTGCCATGGGAAATCACTTTCGGAAATCATTCTTTGGGCCTTAATTTCCATATCTGTAAAATGAAGGGACTGGACCAAATAATATTAGCTAGCATTTATACAGTGCCTTAAACTTTGTAAAGTGCTTTGCATTTCTATCCTTAAAATTATTTTATCCTCAAAATGGCCCTGAGAGGTAGGTGTTAATGACCTCAAAGATCCTGGACTTCTGGCTGTAGGATCTTGAAGTTATTATATCTGTAGAGCTTTTCCTCTTTCCCTTGGAGATGTACCTAATAAATAAATAAGGGAGCTTTTCACCTTTCCCATGGAGGTGTCCCCAGTAAATAAATAAGCATCCCTTGAGGCTCTGAATCTATGCTCATAGGATCTTGAAACATCAACAGTTTCTTCCATTTTCCGAGGAGATGTCCTCAATAAACAACTTAAAAAGAACCCTATTCTTAAGATGGGCATGTAGGGGTATACTGAAAAGTCTATGGAGAAGAATGTAAATCTAACCTTCATATTTTATGGTCTTTAGAATTTTAATACAGCATTATGATGCTTAGTTACATCCAGTGATACTTCTCTGTTGATTAGCAGAACAGTTTCCAATATAAATTTTAAAAACTAAACACAAGAATTTCTTCAATCATACAGGAAAGAAGCTGCCCCATATTATTCCACTATAACACTTCACCAGAACTACTTTTTAAATGATCTTAAAAACAAGCATCTCTATATAGTTTATCTGAAAGGCCCAGTTTTATTTATTGCATTCATAATTTAGAGGAAGTAAGACCCACAATCCAAGGGACTTGAAGTCCAGAGTTTAGTTGCATGCAAAACTTAACCTTTTTTTTTTCTATTGGCAGAGATATACTTTCCTCAAAAGAGGAACTAATCATTTCCTGGAAACATACTCTTAAGTCTTCAACAGAAAAGTGAAGTTCTCCTTGGGAGAAGGACACTTTTCTCTTCAAACTCAGAGATTTCTCTTTCTGATAGAAGAGTTTTATGAATTTAGTCCTAGAGTACTAGAGAAATGCCCAGACAGAAATATAAAAATGCTCAACAGTTCACTGGTTCAAGTATATCCCTTTAATTCCAGGAACCTAGAGTAAATTCCAAACAGTGGGCACAAATCTTATGAAAAAAGTACTCTAGTTATAGCTCTTATTTCAATGACCAATTATTTATGCCTCCCCTCACAGGATCATTGCTTGTCATCAGTTACCACTTATTTGATCCTGAAAAAATTCTTATTCAAGATAAGGACTGGAACTGTGGAAAGGGGAACGTTTTGTGAGGAAACTCCTTCCACCAATGCAGGCCCACACTTTCTCTATGGTCAGAGGGTTGTGTAGAGGTGTCCAAAAGATTAAGTGACTTGCTCGGGGTCATAGAGCCATTATGTGTGACAGGAAGGACTACACCTTAGGTCATACCGGATTTAGGGCAGGTCGGCTGTCTACTATACAGGACTTGCCTGCTGCCTCTCATTAGTAACTACAACAACAATACTACAATCATAATACTTCTTTCTGGAAAAATAGAGTTTGAAATAGAAAGTTGGAAAGTTTCTGTAACCTTTTGAAAATATTTTTATTTACTGCTCAGCATAATTTAGTACATTTGGCCTAAATGAAAAAAATCTGGCAAATTGCTATGAAGATGTGGCTCTTTCCCAAGATGGCGGCAGTAATTCTACAATTATAAACAACACTGCCAAAACACTGTATGTTAAAAAACAAAAGGTTCGATGGCCATCAATCTTCCTCTACTTCCCCTCTACCACATAGAGCGTTGATAAGACCAAGGTTTAGGACCTACCTCTGAACAGCCTAGTTAGGTTTGTTCTGTCTTGTATCTGAAAATAAACTAGTCCTGATCAGGTCTACCTGACCCACAGACTTGGTGTTTGGATACTCTTATTAACTTTGGAAATACTCTCTTCCTTCCTCCTCTTTTAGAAGTAGCAGTTGGGTTTGGGGTTTTGTACTCTTTCCCCACACTTTGGTGTGAAACAAAAGGTAACTGTTCCATGTACACAGAATATTTAACAAAATTCTGTTGGTCAATTGGACATGGCAAGTTTGTTCCTGCTCCTGGCTAAATAAGCCCAAGCATATGCCTTTTGGTTAGGAAATCCATAATATGCCATCTTTAAACACAAGGGGCAGCATTCCATACTGTACCTTTGGGTTTGGGTGCCGACTAATAATCAGGCTAACCGGTCCTGGGCCACACTCACTCAGGATGGCATAAGCTTCGCTTAATGCAGCATGGCGGAGGCTGACAGAATCTGCTTCCAGGATTTGGTCACCACGGCTAAGGAGGCAAACATAATCAGCATTTCAGTACTTGGCTTCTTGCAAGAGATTTCTTGGGGAAGGGAGAATATTATCTCTTAGTGTCTCTTCTCAGTGACTCCCCTTCCTCTTGCAATTAAACATTCCACTGAAACAAAAATAATTCAGCAAAATGAAACCACAGATTGTTAACACCTAATGTCCACCAACTTTCAGTTGAGGGCCTAGAGGCATGCTTCAGAAATAATGTCCAAAGACAAATTTCTCACCAAAATTTTATGTTGAAAAATGGCACCACTTCCTCTACTGCATACTAATACCACAGCAGATCATTTATAAAATCAACTCAATACAAATTAGACCAGATGTTGGCATAGGGCACTGCCTATCCACTCTGATGTTTTTAGAAGAAGCATAGACAAAATAATTTTTGCCACTGGTTTCATTATTCCTGACATCTTGAATCGATTAATGCAACATAACTTACAGGAAAAAAGCTCACAAAAGCCTGCTGAAGAATTTACAAAACCATTTCAAACATAAGCTAATGAGAAATTGGGGAGGAGCTGCCTATATTCCTTTTAAATTAGGGGCAGGGAAGTTAGCTTTATAAAATAAAGACTCTGTTGTTTAAGGATTTAAGTATGTTCACTTGGTGGGCTCCAGACATATGGAAGCATTCAACAAAAGAATCATCATTTTAGGATGTCATGAAAGAAAACATATATACTTCTAGTAATCAAGAAAAACATCTTCTAATGTGCTTTTGCACAGTTTGTTTATTCTTTTTTATATGAATATTCACAGTGAAAATCAATAATAATATGCTACAATAGATTGATAGAAACCAAAAAGTCAAATGCAGGTAATACTATTCTAACAATCATCAATCTACTCTAGGATACCTAGAGCTAAGAGAAATCCTATGTGGCTACCAAGGGCATGAGGAGCTCTAAGCAGTGTGCCTTCTTGCAGTGTTTGCTACCTTGTTATGAATAGGTGGGCATAGTTCTGCCCCAGGTACTTAAACAAGTCCCCAGGTGGCACAGTCAAAGAAATTGAGATGAAGCAAGTTTGACATGAAGTAATGTTGTCTGAATCTTTGACATCACTCTGCTCAACATTTTCTTCAGTTTGAATATAGGAGAATTAATTATATTTGGGGACACACACACACAGAGTACTATACACACAAGGTACAAATTAAATCCATTTTATTACATCCATACTTCATCAATATGCATATGCATTTCTAGCTTAGCATTGTCCTGTTGTATGAAAATCATGTTTCTAAGGATTTCTGGAACTGGCAAGCTCACACCTTACCTTAATCTACTGTCCATCTTGGCTGCTGATCCTGGGGCAAGGCTATGAATATAGATGCCTGGAGAGCTATTTTCCAAAGTCAGACAGCAGGCACCAATGCCTAATCCAACTCCTGGCTCTGTGAAAAGCAGAATATAAAGGAAATAAACAGAAAAGAAAAAGCACAACAGAAAACAATTTTATCCCTTTCAAATGAAACCACATCACATGCCTCCATAGGTTCTTGGAACAAATTCCCCTTTTCACCAGTGGGCTTCTCATTTTGTGGCTGGAATCAGAGTGTGAACCAATACATACTTACCCCCTTATCAGTCCCTAGCCCTTTCCCAAAAAACTGTTTGAGAAGAAGAGATATATATTTTGTTAATTAGGGCAGGCACTGTGGAATTGGAGGCCAAATGCTAATTGTTTTCTTAAATGACTCAATAGTGGTTTAATCAGGGACTGATTCTTGGAGCTCCTTCCTTTGTTCAGTTTTTGACTTTCTACTCATGTTACTGCTCCAAAAGCACTTCTACCACAGATGAGTAGAAGACAGAAACAGAGATGAGAATGAATGATGTTTGGGGTTTATCTGTGGTCTTTTAGTTTAAAACCATCTATTTCCATGAGTAACTGACTGGTAATTGTAGTCATCTTGAATAATTATTGTTGTTGTTTTGAGACTGGGTCTCCCTATCTCATCTAGGCTTAGAGTGGCAATGGATACTCAAGGACCTCATGCCACAGCCCACCATCATGGAACCTTTGACCTGCTCTCTTTCTGACCTGAGCTGTTTTGCTCCTTCCTTAAGCAGCCTGGTATCCTCCACTCCTGGTGACATAGCATATGGTGCCAGACTTAGTTCAGACACCATATTGGTTTTAGCCCTATTGAAGCTCAGAATTCCTGAGCTGGCAATCCACCAGCCTCCACCACCCCAGTAACAGGGATTATAGACATGTGCCACCAAGCCTGGCTGAATTAAGCTTTTAAAACAATTTCTAAAATTTCAGAATCAGAATATCTAGTACATTCTTCACTGTCTGATATATAAGACTTTATCTGAGGAATGGGTCACTGGGATTCTTTCCCTTCTCTACAGTGTCTCTGTGCACTACTTAGGATCCCAGTGTCTATCTGAAATGTGGTTGTGGTGATGACAGGTTAATTGTTTCACCATGCAAGGAAAGTAAACTTTCACATGATAGTGTGAACTCAGAAGTTCAGCTTGGCAGATGGAACTCAGGAGATAATGAAGAGAGAAGTAGATTATAAAGGCTTAAATATTCTTTACAAGGGAACAAGACCTGTTGGTAAGCATATCAGATCACCTTTGTTGAGTGTGAATTTCATGACAATCCTGTCCTTGGGTCCTGGGCCTTTTCGACCCAAAGAAGAAGAATCTCCTTTATCTGAGCTGGGCAAGGGAGTTCCTCCACTGGCATTAGTGCTCAGGTATCTTGATTGTCCCATTAGTGTGAATGTTGGGCATGGAGTAAGGCTGAGGCCACGTAACCCTGTGCGAACTGTCAGGGCCACAATACGTTTCTTGAGTTGCTAGGGAAATTAGAAGATCAGTAGAGTAGGAAAATCAGAGTGCAGTTATACCAAAAGGGGAAAACAATCCTATCAAAATTGGACAACAATAAGGAAAAATTAAGTTGTTTAAAAAAGAACATCAATAAAACAAAAGAGACACACAGAGCAGTTTTGTTACTGTCTTATCAGATTATATATAATATATATCTGTGTGTATGTATATGTATACAGACATATACATGCTTCTTAAAAATAAACTTTATATAATAGAAATTGAATTTCTTATTTAAGTTTCTGGTTTTCTTTGTCCAATGAAGTATTTATTTTTATTGATGATTGCTAATTTCATAATAAAAAAGAAATTTAATTATAAATTATAAAAAATAGATAAACAGATTTCTGCTATAATTCTGTTACCTTAAAGGTCTGAATGGCTTCTTGGTGGGTCAGTCCTTGTAGGGATTCTCCATTCACTTCTAGGATTTCATCCCCTAATAATCCAAAGCAAGATCAAGTTAACATTCATCTAGAGCCTACAGGAATCTTCTAACTGGGCCATCAGGATGTAATGGACTACCACAAGATGCTTGATGTATTACTTGGCATAAGATGACTTTTATTGTTCCAATCTATTTTCATTTGTGTCAACTCCTAGGTTGGTAGTACGACCAGTCAGTCAATGATAGGGAGAGTCCTTCATCAGCAATCCCAGACCTTAGTCTTTGATGAAAACAAACTCCCAGAAACATTACTTGATTTAATTCAGCAGGCATTCCATTAAGCATCCACTGGGGACCTGCATTAAGTGCTGGGGATAAAATAACTAAAACAAATAACGTTTCCCTCCCCCACAGAGCATACCTTCTCCTGGTGTGTAAACTATAGGCTTTATTTCCTTGCCAAATTCTCAGTTTGGCAGTAAATGTCCTATTGCCAGGAGTTAAAATGTGATGACACCAGAGGCAGTCTGTTTTCATCACTACCTAACACCAGCAAGGAAGCATTAGCACATAGCATTTGCCAGGCCACTCCTACATGTATAGGAGGCCAAGCTGCCCAAGTCACCACCATGCTTGGGCCATAGTTACTGAGGACATTGGGACAAAGACTATGGGACCTGAAGCGCAAAGACCAAGGTAGCTCCACCTTTAGAAATCACCCAGTTTTCCAGTGCCTGCCTTCTTAATGACATTTCCAGGTGCTCAGTCATTGAGCTTGAAGGGCATTGTGTGCTTCTATCTAGATGGCTGTGTGATGTCAGATTTTTCCCTAATAATCCTAGACACATCTTCTTAACCAAAAAAAGCATGGCCAGGGCATTTCCAGAGCTGCTTCTGAGCTGTGAGTCCTGCTTCTCATCTATAATAAGGTTAGTGCCCAGTGTGTACCATGTGACATTCATGGCTCATCAGTCTGTTCCTTGGCATCACAGCAACAAAAGTAAAAAAAAAAGGCCCAATAAGGAAGAGCAAACTACAAATGGAAGGTACTTTTACATATGAGGGACTTCCCACACATACTCTAAGAGCTATAACTAGGAATATTCTAACACAAAGGGCGGGGATCTCGAGCTACAAAAGACCATTTGTGGGGAAAGACCCAAGAAAATTACCTGGCCCTTGCATAGAGAGGCTACCTCCAAGGAAAGGAGTAGGGTTACAGGCTAGGGAGAATTCACCTAACACACAGCCGTGGTACTTTCTTATTTAATTAATTCTTCTTGCTAACTACATGCTAAGCTGTTGTTTCTCCTTGTTGAAGGAATACAAAGGCAATACAAGGGCTATCAGGGCTTTAAATCCGGGAGCCTTAGGACAAAACCATAGTTACAGCATCTGAACACATGAGCTCAGCATTGTCCTTAATTGTTTAATATGAATGTATCCTGTGGCTCCTTATGGGAACTTTGTAGAGAATGAAAACACATGATCTCATCCGCATCTGTAACTAGCCTGCTCTTGCCCACTTAGGTTATGCATACATCCAGAGCTGGAAGGACCTTAGTGGTCATCTAGTCCAGCCCCTTCATCCTACCGATGAGGGAACTGAGTGCCAGGAAAGTAAAGTGACTTGTCCAAGGTCACATGTGTACTAATTAAGAAAAGAATGCTGTATTAGAAATGTTTAGAGGCTGTATTCAAGAGGATCAGGAACCCTGAACCATTCTGAGTAATTGATCTTTTCTGTATCTTAGGCTCATTCTACCTTGCCTTATTTAAGCAAAATGAGCTTCAAGCGCATTTCTGAACTGAAAGCTAGCAATTCATTATAGAAATGCTCTGTGACAATTTCACATTGTTCTGAAACTAAAGACAAAAACTCTACCAGGGAGTTAACCTTTCCTCTAAAAGTGATGAATAAATAATCATCTGCCTGGAAGCATTCAGCCTGCTCACATCACCCTGTTCAAGCATAAATTTCTCCTGCCTTCTTACTGGGGAGAAATCTCTAACTCTTTACTGACAAGAACAGGCTGATTCAATGTAGCTATACTTCTATAGCCTTTGAAGCCAGTTTTTAAAAGTGTTTGTACTTTTCTTTTTTTTTTCTGGCTAGGCAGTGGGGTTAAGTGACTTGCCTAGGTCACACAGCTAGTAAGTGTTATGTGTCTGAGACCAGATTTGAACTTGGGTCCTCCTGACCTCGGGGCCAGTGCTCCATCCACTGTACCACCTACCTGCCCCATTCATACCTTTTTAAAAAAACGACTTGGAAAGTACTGATTTAATCATGTAGGAAAGGAAAGTTGTTCATGGCAAAGCAGGGGTTTTGCGGTGCTAACTGCTAATTCTAAAGGTTCCAACATTTGGTGCTAATTTTTGCTTTATAAAATGAAGGGCTGTTATCTCAATCCAAAGATTCAAAGAAAGACCCATAGATTATCTGCATAAAAGAATAATATTCCTAGTTTCTAGTAAAACATATTATTACCCAAAACGTCTCAATAAACTTTAGCCGCAAAGGAGCTCTTCCATTGAAGAAAGCAACTGCATTTCTGTTTAACAAGTTTCTTGGTCTTTATCAACTGGGATTTCTCCTGTGGTCATGTATGTAAAGGGCAAGGCCAGCAGGGATTTCAGTGAAGCTGGCCCATCTTCCCTTTTGTTTGCAGGCACAGATTCACATTGAGTCAAAACCTTATTTTCATTATAGCTCAGGAGATTCTCCCTCACCTTCTTTGAGTCCTCCATCTGCAGCAGCTGCTCCACTGGGGAAAATTGTCTTGACAAAAATCCCCATCCGGCCTCTGGCTGAATCCTGACCTCCCACAATACTGAAGCCAAGGCCCTAGACCAAAAGCAAAAAGACAGCTTTTACTGACATAACACAATAAAAATTATATTAAATAAAGAGTTGCTAAAAAACCATTAAAAATCAACTAGAGACTAAAAATTTGAATCCTAAAGAATTTGTGGATCAAAAATAAACCATAGAATTGATAGATAATTTCAGTAAAAGACAACAATGAGACAACATACCAAGTTCCCTTTCCAGAGACTACTGCTAACCTGCTCATGGTCAAAAGTTCAGCAAATGTAATATTCTGATCCCTTGGAGACAAATTATGTCAGGGATTTTCTTCTCCGGTTGTTTGCTGTGATCAGCTTCCTTTCTCATTGGCCATATGTTACCTTTAGAGGCCTAAAATGGTTCTGAGGAATAAAGAAACCTCATTTTGTGCCGCTGTGGTGCTATGCTAGTTTCATTATTGTATTTTATTCTTTTCCACTTCACATTAAGAATGAACCACTTAAAGGGCCCTGGTCATTTATTCCCTAAAACTGGAAAACCGTTAAGCTTACTGAGAAGATTTAATGGGGACTTGTCCTGAAGTCATAGGCTCTGCCTTTCTGAACAACAGGAGAAATTTACAAATGAGGGGCTCCATTCTGTCACCAAATTATGTGTCTTGGATCAGGTGGCATTTACTTCTCAAAGGATGGGAAGCAAAAAGGAAAGAGATGTAGCTGGCCCATTCTACCCTGAGAAAAGAATGTCCAGAGGATACACTTAGAACTACATAAAACTCACCTTTTTAAATACCATTTCTTAATCTTTCTTTTACATAAAAAACAATCATAGCCCTAGGTGAACAAATTGCCTCAGAGTAATGAAATCACTCTTGAAAAAGTCCTCACCTTGCCTTGTCCTTTCATCAACACAATGGTGGAGATAATGGACGGCTGAGCTAGTCTCCAAGGGGATTCCACTTGAGCAGTGCTCAGGGACCGAGTTGACTTCTTCACAGCATGGTATTCCTAAATAGAACCATATTGGACAATAGTCAAAAATTCATTTATTTATCTTGCTGCTATAGTCTCTTATATTTCCATTAAAGTTGTCTTCTGATGTGTCATTGTGGTGTGCAGATTTGCCTCAGTTCTCCAAGGTTAAGCCAGAGGAATGCAAGTTCTAGAAGGTTCTATGCCAAGCTGGGAAGCTTTGAGCAAGGGGCCAGAGGTGAATTCTACAATATCTTGCCAATCTGGCCAAGATTGGAGAGGCTTATCACCAGGTTGCTCACAGCGTAATGAATTTTTGAGCCTCAGCAACTCTTGGGGATGGCCTGCCAATTCATCAAGGGCCTGCAATGTGCTGTGTAGGGAATCTCTACAACAATGAAATCATAGAGGCTTGAAATCTTGAAGAAGATTATCACCCACAAGAATACTCTAGATTTTAAACCTCAGTGTGATGGATACAGTTAACACTTTCTCCTTTTGTCTGTCATACCCATTGAATTTTACTGGAAGAAAGGAGTTTAGAAGAGACAAGACTAGTGGGCTGTATTGTAGATAGCCATGGCTGCCTTGGATTACCATCCCCAGCATATGTCACCCATGTCTAATTTGTTTTTCGGAACTCCATTAGCATGTAGTGTTTTCCTGTCATCTCTGCATAATAATGCCAAAGAAGCCCATCCTTGCATCTTGGATGGAGCCCAGGGTCTGGAAACCTGAAGGCTTTTAGTATGCAGGGTGACCTTTGATGGTCTTGTTCTCATTTGGCAAACATCCCACATAACCCCCAGTCCCAGGCTGAGGTCAAAGGTATCAGCAGTTCAAGATCATATCACCCACTACACATACACACACATAACCACACAGCCCTTGTTCCATGTAAAAACACAAACCACATATATACCCAGAGAAGTCACATTCCATAAAAACTCCACCGAGTCTGCTAAAGCTATGTCTCTAATTCCTGTGTATACCATACTCACTACTTCTGGCATACATCAAATTCTGATCTCTCTTTCAGTATATCAACCACAGAATGTGGGCATACAGCAGAGGGTGGTGTTTACAACAATAAATAAGAAGTTACTGGTTATATATTAAAGTATTTATTCAGTTTAGTTTTCTGCTATTCTTTATAAAGTTTAATGTCTTATAGTATATATAACTTGATGATTTATAGATTTTCCCAGAAGTTGAATTTATGTCAGCATTAAGCAAAAAATAATGTAAAAGCTACTTCTCATTTAATACGAGAATTTTGAGATTGTGGAGTATTTTCCTTGTCACCTTAAGTTTTGTTTTTCTACCTACTGAAGTAGAAATGATATTTTTGGCAGTGATATTTCTTGAATTACTTAAAACAATTCTTCTTTTTCAGCTTGTGATATTAACCTCCTGGCCTTAAACCCATCAAAAAATTGTGTTTAGGGCAGCTAGGTGGTGCATTGAATAGAGCACTGGCTGTGGAGTCAGGAGTTCCTGAGTTCAAATCCAGCCTCAGACACTCGACACTTACTAGCTGTGTCACCCTGGGCAAGTCCCTTAACCTCAATTGCCTTGCAAAAATAAAACAAAACAAAAAAATTGTGTGTATGAGAGATAGAGAGAGAGAGACAGAGACAGAGAGAAACAGAGAGACTAGGGCAGGGAGGTAGGTAGGCAGGGGAAGGATGGTTGAGTATGCCTTTCCTAAGACTATGATGGGGTGATTGCTTCTCATTCATCCCTGGAGTATGGAAGCTTATTCTTGGATTGACAAATGATCTTCTCCTTACCATACTCAATCACCTCCCTTTCCAATACTCTAACAGATCTGAGACCTCATGGAAGCAAGTATGCCCCCCCACAGTGATACAGATAAGAACACTTCTATGTCTGCCTATCCTGTGTGACTTTCCAACATTTCCTCATGTGAGCTCACCATGGAGACTCCATTCAATGTACTAGAAGCTTGGAACATGTGAAATATTTATGAGTTATCTCTTGATCTTTTTTTGATAATTTATTTTATTTATTTTTAGTTTTTAACATTTACTTCCACAAGCTTTTGAATTTTAAATTTTCTCCCCCTCTTTCCCTTCCCACCTCCCTAAGATAGTGTGCAATCTCATGTAGATTCTACATATACATTCATATTAAACATATTCTCACATTAGTCATGTTGTAAAGAAGAATTAGAACCAATGGGAAGAACCATGATAAAGGAGGAACAAAACAAAATAACAAAAAAGAGTACAAATAGTATGCTTCAATCTGCATTCAGACTCCATAGTTCTTTCTCTGGATGTGGATAGCATTTTCCATCATGAGTCTTTTGGAATTGTCTTCATTGTACTGCCAAGAAGAGTTAAGTCTATGGAAGCTGGTCATTGCACAATGTTGCTATTGCTGCATGCAGCATTCTTCTAGTTCTGCTCACTTCACTCAGTATCAGTTTATGTAAATCTTTCCAGGTTTTTCTGAAATCCACCTGCCCATGATTTCTTATAGCACAATAGTGGAATCTTATATAATTTTGACATGTACATAGGAAACACCTTGTTGGAGGGAAGCCTTTAAGACATTTGGCTTAAATAAATCAAATGCAATTTTATGGTCAACAGTGACAATAAAAACCTAGCATTTATATAGTACTTTAAGGTTTGCAAAGTACTATACATATATCATCTCATTTAATCATCACAACCACCCTGTGGAGTAGATACTCAGCATCCTCATTTTACAGATGAAGAAACTGAGGAACAGAGCTGTTAAATGACTTGTCCAACGTCACAAAGATAGTAAGTATCCAAGGTAGGATTTGAACTCAACCCTTCCCGACCCCATGTCCATCTCTCTCCCTGCTGTACCATGTAACTGCCACAAAAATTAGCTAAAAATAAGTGGGTTATTCTATTTTCTTTATTATCTTTTAGTGAATTGTTTGATGGTAAATATGTAGTTTAAAGTAGACTACAGCTTGCTAAAGCCTGGCTGTTTCCTTATTATTCTCATCTTGTATGCTCTTAACTTGAATGTAGGTTATTCTCGTAAAAATGTTTACATGTATCATATGGGTCAATAGCTATTGACATTTTCTCATTCACATTTCTTTCTAGTAATGATGAGGTCTGGGTTTTTTTTTTTTCCATGTCACTGGTATCTTCCCCTCCAATAACGTGTTGTCTCTAGTATGGTTCTGCTTGCAGTCTTCTTGGTCTAATACAGCTGATTTTCTATCTTTGTTTCCTTTGATGACATATCTGCTCCCGTAAGCAGCACATCTGGTACTTTGATGTTAAGAATCTAGATGTGATGGCTTTATATCACTTTTGGTGAAAAGAATTTAAAAAAAATATTTGGGGCAGCTAGGTGGTGCAGTGGATAGAGCACCGGCCCTGGATTCAGGAGGACTTGAGTTCAAATCTGGCCTCAGACACATAGTATTTACCAGCTGTGTGACCCTGGGCAAGTCATTTAACCCCATTGCCAACCCCCCCCCAAAAAAAATCTATACTGATCTTTTCCATCTTCTCTCTGTTTGATATCCTCCTTCTGGTTTCATTTTTTAATGCCCTTAAGATGGTGATATTTAGTTGTGTCTCTTTTGAAGCCTCTTTAAAATTTGCTTTTCCTTTCACTGCTTCATGATGTCATATGAAGTGACATTTCTCATTTCACCATTATTCTGCTGTGAAATTTTAAAAATGAATTTATATCCTAAGCTGGTGTTGCCGTTAGCTTCCCTTGATATTCCTTTGGGTCTTTGTAAGGCAAGTTTAGTTTGAGAATTTGTTGTCTAAGGCAATTTTTAGGTTCTTTTATGCTATGCTATTGATTTATAATCAGTTAGACTTGTGCATGAATTGTTAAAATTGGGTGTTGTCCTTTCCTCCATCCATTTCCCTTTTTTGGTATTAATATTTTGTTTCAGTTAGTTGGTCAAGTTGGGGTGATTTTCATGGTACTTCATTTCTCACACACACACATTTTTGTTCTGTGTTCTGGTTTCCTATCAGTTTTGATCTTTGCTCTAACCAGTGTGACCATAAACAGATAGCCAACTGGGAAATGATCCTCACATTTGTAATAAGCTATTTCCTGCCTTTTAAAATGTAATTAATTTCATTCTTGTGATTTTACTAGGTCATTGTTCCGTATATACATCTTTGGATTCTTTTGCAGAAGTATTTGTGATACATATATGTGAAGCGTCAACATAGTCCATAAATCTTTGGACTCTCTCATTCCTCAGGCTGGCACCAAATGTCCCACTTTTTTTTTTTGACCTGGGCATTGAAATCATTATGTATCAAGGTTTCTTCCCCCCAACACCTCTTTTCCTATCTGGGGGTCAGTGGATGACCTACGTGAGGACACCGTACCCTACAATATTCAGGGTGGCCCTCTGTACTCACAAGCCCATTATTATTGGCTAACTTGGGAGGGAAAGAAAAAAGAAAGGGAGGTCTAGCAGAGGAGGAAGAGGACAGAAAATGAGAAGAAAGTAGAGGAAATAGGTAAAAGAAATGAGGGACAAAGAGGGGGGATTGTGAAAGAATGGTGCATCTCTCCTTTCTAATACTTCCTCTGCTTACCTGTGACTGGATAATAAAGACCTGGTTTGTGAGTGGTTATTCCTGGGCCACGCAAGTAACCAGGTTTCTTAGATAGCTTGGGGTTAAACATGTTGCCAGAACACTGGATTTTCATGGCTCTGACTGCCATCAGGTCCTCTCTTTCAGTTTTTTCAAAGTATCCTGACAACATGGCTGCTTTACAACTGCCCAACCTCTGCTTAAATATTAAGCCAAAGAGTTTTGGGTAGCTCACTGGTTTCTTTCAGTTTACAACATGCTTTGGACAGTTTGAACCATGCTCCAAATATCTTTTATGTTTCACTTTCTACCCCCAACAGAAACATTAGCACACAAAAACACAATCACCCAGTGCCTCTGCCCCCTTGGATCAGCAAAACAGCAAGATTGATTTCTCAGTGATTCATAGATTTCTTGTAAGCAACATAAGAACATAACCATAACACATCATTAGTAATATGAATATAGTTTTCTACATAGCCATCTACTACCTGGGCAAGAATAATAAAAATAATAATAATAGCTAGTGTTTATATAGTGCTTTAAGGTTTGTAAAGTGGCTCCAAATAATATCTCATCTTATTCTCAAAAGGGTATTATTCCATTTTATAGGTGAGGAAACAAAGGCTTAGGAAGACAGTCATACAGCTACATACAGTCTGAGTTTGGACCTGAACTCAGGTCTTCCTGACTCCAGGCCCGGTGCTCTATCCACAGCACCACCTAGCAGTTAGCTGAAGTGGATGATCTTTTCAGGTCCCTTTTAGTTCTGAGACAAATCTCTGAAGCCAACAAAGTTCACTGGTGACCCACTGCTTTTCTCCCTTCATTTTTACTGCTTCAGTGTTCACACTATCTTTTAGATGATTTTTCTCCAGTTTCAGGTTTAGTGCTACAATCAATAGGCTTCAAAAGTATACCTCTTAGTTCTCTAAGGACCTCTAGTTCTAGTTGTTTGTTCTTATATACTCTACCTCTGTCTCCTGCTATTCTTTCCACTACTGCCAGCTTGCTTTCATCTTCCTCCCAGTTATGCTTTTGACTTGGATTTCATCACCTTGCCCCTGTATGAGCACCTGCATCTTCACCTGCTTTTTTGTGTTGTCTTCCCCAGTAGAACATAAGCTCCTTCTTATGATGAAAAATGCTATCTCTTTCAAGAGAAAAACTGATAGTCTGAATGCAAATCAAAGCATACTTTTTCTCTGTATTCTTTATTTTTCTTGGTTTTTTTTGTCTGTGGTTTTTTTTTTACTGCATGACCAATATGGAAATATATTTTACATGACTGCACATGTATAATCTATATCAAATTGCTTGCCTTCTCAATGTGGGGAGGGATGAAAGAATTTGGAGATCAAAAATTTTTTTAAATGAATGTTAAAAAGTATCTTTTACTTGTAATTGGAAGGAAATAAAATCTTAAACTAGTAGAATATAAGCTCCTTGAAGACAGGGACAATCTTTCTTTTTGCCTATACTGGTATCCCCAGACCAGGGGTGGGGAACTTGGAGCCTGGAGGCCACATGTGGCCCTCTAGGTCCTCTAGTATTAGCCTTTTGATGGAATCCAAACTTCACAGAACAAATCCCCTTAATAAAAGGATTTGTTCTGTGAAACTTGGACTCAGGCAAAAGGCTGCACCCAAAGACCTAGAAGGCCACAGGTGGCCTCAGGCCGCAGGTTCCCCACCCCTGACCCAGACCTTAGCACTGTGCCTAGCACTCAGTAAGCACTTAATCAATGTTTGTTGCCTAGATCCAGTGGCTATTCACTTTTTTGTGTCAGTGAAATTTATGGACTCTTTCTGTGAATAATGTTTGTTATTTATGTTTACAATTGAAGAAAATGCTAAACTTCAGTTAGAAGTTCATGAAAATAAAGAGACATTCTGTTTTTTTCCCCACCCAAGTTCATGGACTCCTTGAAATCTATCTGCAGCTCCCTAAGGAGACTGTGGATTCCAGGTTAAGAACTTCTATAGCAAAGGTTAAATCACTTTTCTCCTTTTTTGCTGGTCTGTGGAGAGTAGTTACTGTCTGATTGGGGTGATGGTACATCAGGGATTACACACCAAACTGCTGCTTGATGGTGAAATGACTTAATGAATTGTCCTCCTCTCCCTATCACTCTGTTTTTACCATTACCACCTCCACCACTACCACTGACTTTTATACAGTGCACTATTTGAAGCTTCTTCCCTGTAGTCTGACACATACACAGAGGCTACACCAGTGTTTGGTGGCTGAACTAGATGAATGATAGGGGTTCGACTGCAGCCTGGATACCACTGTGAGGCCCCACTGTCTCCTGGCAGCTGAATTCAGTTCTTAGGTCCAAGACACACAGCAGGGCAGAGAATCAAGAAATTGGGTTCCTAATAGGCCTTTTTTCTCCTCCTGAGCTCAAGTCCTGTTGGTAAATAGCACTATTGAATGCCTTCCAGCCTGACCAGAGACAGAGGCACAGAGGTGGTAAAAAAAAACAAAAACAACCAAGGAATATCCTAGGGCCAGCAAAGAGTATTCCATGATGGAGTGTAGAGTACATGGAAAGGATAATATCTAGGAGATGGGGTTGGAGAGATAGGATGGAGAGTCCTGAATGCCAAAGCACAATTGCTTCTCACACATTAACTTTTTTAAAAAAAAGTTTTTATTGATATTTTCTGTTTCTTACATAACCACAGTTGTCTCATGTATCTTTCCCTTCCCCCTCCCAGAGAGCCATCTCATGAGACAGATGGTATTTTTTTAAGAGAGGAAAAAAGTCAGCACAACTGATCAACGCATTGAAAAAATCTGAAAACAATGCATTGTATAGCACCTATAGACCTCCCACCTCTATGAAGGAGTGGGTTAGGGGTGCATTCTCATATCTCTCCATTCAAGTTCTGTTTGATCTTAACAACTTTGTTATATTTACTTTTTTTTTTTGGTAGAGGCAATCGGGGTGACTTGCCAGGGTAAGTGTCTGAGGTCAAATTTGAACTCAGGTCCTTCTGACTCCTAGGCTGGTACTCTATGCACTTCACCACCTTGCTGCCTTTTGTTACATTTTCCCTTGATATTTTGTTATGTCGTTGTCATTTCCAGTTCCATTGTTGTTACTTTGTATGTTTTCTTGGCTCTGCTTACTTAGTCTGCATCAGATCATATAGATCTTTTCATGTCATCCGTTAGCTTTATCTGTGGATCTGGGCACATAACTGATAGTACAAAAGGCCGATTTCTTTCCATAAAGATAAATGAATGACTTAGTCCCTGCCCTCCTGGAGTTGATAAGAGAAAAAGCAACCCTTTGCAGGCTAATGCAGAAAAATTGAAGGGATTAAGACCTTTCCTTGGCTTGATCTGGGACTTGAGGTATTGCACTGGCAGTCAGGAGAGCAAGAGCATAAGACTGACCTGTCTTACCCCAACAGAGTCAAGCTGCTGTGGAAGGGAATGTTTGCGGGCACTCTGAGAAAACTTCTCCAACATCTCCCCACCGGGGTCACCATTTTCTACTGTCAGTTCATCATCTTCTCCAACAGATTCTAGACGAGGTGCACCTCCTAGAAAGAAAAAAAAGATGTTTTTTATAATAATAATAATAATAGTAATTTTTAGAGGGGAGGCAATCAGGGTTAAGTGACTTGCCCAAGGTCTCATAGCTAGTAAATTTCTGAGGTCACATTTGAACTCATCATCTCCTGACTCCAGGGCTGGTGCTCTATCCACTACACCACCTAGCTGCCCGTGCTTTAACATTTTCAAAGAGTTTTACCCATGTTCTCACTTGGTCCTTGAAACAACTTTCTGAGGTAGGTGCAATTATTGCCCCTCTACTACATATAAGGAAACTGAGGCTGAGAAAGGTTAAATAACTTGTCCTATCCTAATTACCAATCTGAACCCTGGCTCATGCCAGGTCTTCCTGACTCTATAGCCAGTGTTTTAAGCACTGTGCGCACACTGCTTCCCCAAGACATGGGCATCAGCTAGTTAAGAAGACGGCCATCCACAGCTATCATAAGGCAGAGATGGCTCAGTTGCTTAGTACCGTGAAAGCAACAAGGTACTTTGTCACTCGTTACCTACTTCTCCACCTGCTTCTCCATGCCTTGTGACCATCAGTGTCAGGCTTTAGAGAAATTTCTTCTCTGAAGACATGTGTAGAATGACTCGGTTGGTTTAGTGAATAAAACTGAATAGTTTTAGACAAGGAGCGATGTGTACATTTGCTCCAAACTGACAGTTTTGACACAGCAGCTGTTGATAATGCAATAAATAAAGGCAAGACTGTAGTTCGATTGGTAATGTGCATAAATATAATGCCTGACATTAATTTGATCATTTACTATATTACAAATGTTGTTATAAATGTGAACTTTTCCTTACTTCTTTTGGGTTATTGATTTAATTGCTAAAAGACTAATGTAAATATGTTTTAAAAAGTCATTAGCAGATTAGTAACCAAGTTAAGGTGTCAGTATTTTAAGATTTCAGGATCTAGCCCCATGCTTAGTTGTTTAAAGCACAGTGATTTGACTTCAATTAAAAACCAGAAATTGCAAAGGGAAAGATTTTTAGAAATCAGTCTGTAGTCAGCTTTAGTCTAGGAGTAAGGTTAGATAATCATTTAGTTAATCATGTTCACCCACCTTTCAAGATAAATCTGTAGGAAGGCCTTATTAAATCTAACACCACATAAATATTGGATATGGTAAAGATATTGGTTATTGTCATTATTACATTAAAAATCTTAATGTTTTCTTGTATTGCAACTTTAATTCAACTTTTTAAGTAACTCAGTGAAGGCTTTTGGAAGTTTCTTCCTGGGTGTTGAGGGCCGATCTTAAGAGTCTGATAAGGGTTTAAGATCCAAGGCAGAGTTTGACCTCTGCCCAGGCTTTTACAAACCAAAAGGGCTCGATGATTAAGTGGTACGGCTCCCCAGTTCCTTCCTGATTAAGAGGTCTCTGAGACATTCCTTCTCTCTCTTTGAACCTTAGATTTACATATTCACTCCTCTATGCAGGTGGCACCAAGGTGCCTGGGAAAACCTTGGAATCTACAGCCCAATCTAGGAATCCTGATAAGGAGGAAATTCATGATTGTCACATCCTCAGCAGATGTTCTGGGGAGTATCATACAGGGAGGACTCTTTGAAGTTAGGCTAGATCTTCCCTATATATTCTGTGCCCTCAGATGAATAAACTGAGTCAGTAATTCTACTCCGCCTGGCCCATGTCATAAGTTATTTCACGCCTCTCCGTTAGGTGTACAATCTGGTTGTGGGCGACACCTGGGGAAACTGGCCACACCCTGCCAGCATTAAATCAAATTCCTTAGGTCTCTGCCTGGGCCCAAAATCAGCAGTACAACTTTAGACAAGCCTCTTTTTAAAAAAAAAAATTTTTTTTTGCTAGACAGTTGGGTTAAGTGACTTGCCCAGGGTCACACAGCTAGGAAGTGTCATGTGTCTGAGGCCAAATTTGAACTCAGATCCTCCTGACTCCAAGGCCAGAGCTCTATGCATTGTGCCACCTAGCTGCCCCTAGCAGTTCAACTTAGAATCTTGGGGTATACTAACCTGATGGTGGATTTAAACTGTTATAAAACTTTATATGCATTTGCTGGTACATGCAGCTTCAAATTCCTGGGTGGCTGGGAATTGGAAGCTGAATGAAAGCTTAAGGCAGTTAGCTCCTTATCTGATAAGTCTCAAAGAAAGGTAAAAGAGACTGGGAATTGGGAAGTGGAGGAAAAGTTTATGCAGAACTGGTAATCTTCACCAGGTTTCTTTAAAAAGTTGACTGTTCTGTAAAGGGATAATGATAGTACCTACCAACCCAGGGTCACTGTGAGAATCACATGATTGTAAAGTGCTTAATGTAGTGCTTGGCATAGGGCAAACACTATGTAAATATTAACTGCTTTTATTATCTTTTTAATTAGATATAATTGCTTCATATTTGGGTTTTTAGAAGTGATCGGTATACAATGCCAGTGTTGATGAGATGACTGATTTTCTGTGTAATGTTAATAATATTGTTTAGGGTATTGTTTCAAACTTTTCTTATGCTATTTAACCTGGTAAACTATCAGCAATTTCTCTTATAATCTAGATGTAGTTAGATTAAGAATTGTATTGTTTAAAAAAAAGAGAGAGAATAAATATGTTAGGAAGCTGTTAGGTCATTCTATCAGCCCTGCTAAGCATGTGCAATAATATTCTGAAGTACTGTTATTTAAGAGGAAGTTTCTCCTAAATTATTTGGCTATCACTTATGAAAATTAAGAGATTGTTAACTAAGATATTTGGAATTATTGTTTTAATCAAGTATTTACTTAGATATTTTAAAAGGAAAAATTGATAATTACAGAAAAAAGATCTCATTAAATCACCTTTGTAAACCTACAAGGATTCTTAGAACCATCTAGTCAAAAATTCTTATCAACTTTGTTCAAGAGTTTTCTGTGTTGTAGAATTCCTAATGAGGAAATGGGAATCCTTACACAAATTGGGGGTATAATTTTCAAGCCTGCTTCATCTAAGGATATATTTATATATGTTCATTTGGATGTTTACAGCAATTGGCCAGTGTCATTTTTCTAGGAGTTTAAGTTACTATCTGTATGGGATTTGAGAATGTAATTATGTCTCTCGTGATATATTTTAAGACAAAGGGAAGAAGAAAATTGTGATAAATTTTTAAAGGCCTGGTAAACTTTGTTATTGTGAGAAGGCTAATTTAATTAAGAGTGTGTGTGTGTGTGTGTGTGTTTGTATACACATATGTATGTGTGTATATGTATATGTATATTTGGCTTAGAAAAATTGAATCTACTCCCCGTTGTAAAAACCTTTTGACTACAGAAAGCTAGTAACTTGGAATTTTTTGTAATTAGGAATTTATTTTCTTTTTAAGATTTTGTTGGGGCAGCTAGGTGGTGCAGTGGATAGAGCTCCAGCTTTGGAATCAGGAGGACCTAAGTTCAAATCTGATCTCAGACACTTGACACTTAACTAGCTGTGTGACCCTGGGCAAGTCACTTAACACCAGTTGCCTCACCAAAAAAGCAAGAAAAAGAGAAAGATTTTGTGGATTTGTTTATATTACTTAAAGACATTTTAAACCAACTTAGCTTTGATAAATTCCAATTTTGTGGATTTTTTTTTTTGCTTTAAGATTCAGTGAGAGAGGTATCAGTAAGTTTAGGGGTTTCTAACTAATTTACTTCATGAAAGTATGGTGATTGTCTTTTTAACATCAGGATACATTTTAAGCTATTTTTAAGAAAGAGAAATACTTTTAGGAAGAAATGTTTAAGTAAAAAACATCTTTTGTAAAAAGATCTTTTCTGTGATTTTTAGAAGGCCTATTAAATTTTGTTTGCAAGCTACTTGGCTGCAATAATTTGGTTAGTAATGAGATTAATACTAAAGCATCTGAATTACTGTAATAAGCTGCAAGTGGGAAAGATCTTGCTATTCTGATATGAATTTGTAGTCACTAAACAAGAGTTACATTTGTGCTTGAACTTTCATGTGTATAGATTCAATTCATGAAGTATCTTATTCTTTTAGAATGATATGAATTTAAGTAGACAAAGGTAAACAAGCTTGTGAAAGAAAGACGTAAATCTATTAAGTTGTGACATTAAAGTCAGAAACCTCTTTTGTTTTTGTTTTAAGGAATAAGATTTCAGTATAGTCAGTGATGTTATTGGAGAGTAGTGACTTGTGAGCTCTCTTGTGTCACCTTAATGGGAAATCAGATTTTACTTATATTTGTTATTTAATCTGGGATTAGAGCATGCCCTGAAATGCATGCAAACTAGTTAAGAGTCACCTTAAAAATGTTCCCATTTTTTAAAAGGAATTCTGAGAGCAGTAGTCTGTGTTTATGTTCATTTGAACATGGTTAATAACTGAACAACATGTTTTTATTATAGACAGAATTTCATATAAACTGATCTCTGAAATACAATTTGGGATTATTATATTTACACATCCTATCCCAAATCTTTTGTTATTTGTTATTAAGCATCTTAAAGCAAAATCATTTGCATGATGTTGAACCTAGGGATAAAAAAGCATTTACTACCATGACTACTAGTTATGTCAAAATAAGATGTCATTTCTCTGGGAAATTACTGTTACCAATGTGAGATTATAGTCAATACTTATTTATCTTGGATATGTGATCCTTGAGAGCTGAATTCACCTGAAGCTCTGATTATTGGAATTTCACATTTGAGATGTTATGGGACTGTTAACTGATATTATTCTGAGTCTGATTCTAGATATGATCATCAGGGAATGCTCTTAAGCCCATGATGCCAGCAACCCTCTGGGATTTTACATCCATGAACTGCAGGTGGCGTTCTCATGGGAAAGAGTGGGAGAATGACTTTTGTCATGGACTGAGGTAGGATTCTCTTGACTCAATTTCCCTGATATGACATTTCTTGAATAGAAATTATCCAGCCTGGTTGACCTTAAGCCTGGTTCATTGCAGTTGGCTATATCTATATAACTTCTGCCTGGAATTGACATGAAATTAGGGAAGCATTATTCCTTACTGTATAGTTCTGTCCCTATTCTTCTTTTGTGGAAAATTTCTATAATCATGTCAGATGATCAGTATGAACACAATATTGAATTTTATCTTATAGGCTAATACTGGAAAACATCTGAGTTAGTATAAGAAGATGCAGGTATAAGATTTGAGCTATTTGGCCTAGAATTTTAGTCCTTTCAATATTCCAAACAACTAAGTAATTAAATATTTAGCCTTGACATCTGTTACCAGTTATCTATTCCTGTGGAAGTTAAGGTCCTTTAATTTTTCATAATGGTATGGGGATAGCTAGGCAAATGATATGAAGATTTGTGAAACCAGGATATGATTCTGTTATTTAGTGAACTTAATATCATAACTGCCTCAGTTCTGTATTAAGGAAAAGAATATCAGTACAATTAGTTATCTTAGAAGAAGAGTGGCTTGTGGTCTATCTTGTAAATGCCTTGAAGAAACATCTACTTGTGTTAGGGGTTATTCATTTGAACATGGCTAAAAGTTGAGAATGTTTTAATATCAATAACTTGTTTAATATGCACTGTTTTTTTAACTTGATTGATTTATTTTGATTAATCGCTTCCATAAGCTTTTGAGTTTAAAATTTTTCTCCCCCTCCCTTTCCACCTACTTCCCTAAGACGGTGTGCAATCTGATATAGGCTATACATATACATTCCTATTAAACATATTTTTACATTAGTGATGTTGTAAGTAAGAATTAGAACCAATAGGACGAACCACCAGAAAGGACAAACAAAACACAACGGAAGGAAAAAAAATAGCAAATAGTATGCTTCGATCAGCATTCAAACTCCATAGTTCTTTCAATTCTATCAATATTAGTCATCGCACAACATGACTGTTATTGTGTACAACGTTCTCCTTGTTCTGCTGACTTAACTCTGCATCAGACCACACAAGTCTTTCTAGGTTTTTCTGAAGTCTGCCTGCTCATCATTTCTTGTAGCACAATAGTATTCTATTACATTCATATACCACAACTTGTTCAGCCATTCCCCAATTGATGGGCATCCTCTCAATTTCCAATTCTTTGCCACCACAAAAAGAGGTGCTGTAAATATTTTTGTACATGTGGATCCTTTTCTCATTTGTATGATCTCTTTGGGATATAGCCCTAGAAGTGCTATTGTTGGGTCAAAGGGTATGCACATTTTTATAGCCCTTTGGGCATAGTTCTAGAATGGTTGGATCATTTCACAACTCCACCAACAATGCATTAGTGTTCCAATTTTCCCACATCTTCTCCAACATTTATCATTTTCCTGTTTTGTCATGTTGGCCAATCTGATAAGTGTGAGGTGGTACCTCAGAGTTGTTTTGATTTGCATTTCTCTAATCAATAGTGATTTAGAGCATTTTTTTCCATATGACTATAGATGGCTTTAATTTCTTCATCTGAGAACTGCTGTTAATTTGATATGCACTGTTTTAAAATTGATTACTCAATGTATGTATATATACCATCCCTGAACCTTTTATTATAATTGAAGTCAATCTGGCAACTTTTAAATGAATTCATTTTTGTATTAGAGTCCATCTTCTTATAAAAAGTGTTCTATTATTCATTAGTGGGATCTCATCCTCCTAATGGGGGGAAGCATAATGCCAAGTATAAAAATTGCCTTCTAATTTTCCTGTTTATATTTGAGTTTCTTAGATATATCAATATGACCATTGGCTCACTGAAAAATGTTAAATTCCTTAGTCTAAAAGGATCCAAATTTTGTTTTTTAATGGTAGAGGCAAAGGGGTTGAGCTAACGTTAACTATGTGATTGGCGAAGTAATTTGGATCTATTTTAAAACCAGTTTTGTAGAGATTTTTAACAGAGCAGGAGGCTCTCTATAAGTGACCTGAGTCTAAGAAGACAGTCAACTGGAAACTGCTTTGTGACTACACCCAGACAAGAAAGCTGTTTCAGATGGTGTCCCTCGAATCACACAGATGGATGAGATGAGACTTCTGAGTCTTAAATGGGCATTTTTTTTTTACTGTTTACTTTTTCCCTTTGCATCTTTTATCTGCAAGGCCTACTTATTAAAGGGTTTTGTTAAGGTGTCGATCACTTTCTCCCTTTTCCCGCCCATTATTACCCATTGTTACCCATTATGAGCCTCATAGTTAAGAACCCTTGATGAAATGTTTATAAAATCAATTAGTGATTCATTGAGGAGACTTTGTCTCTCAATTAGAATCAAATCGGGGAATGTGAGAAGTGAATATTTCTCTTTCATATTTAATAACTAATTATTATATTAGGGCCAAAATTTTTCCCCTTTTCTATTTCCTCATCCAGAAATCAACCAGTGTGGGAAATTTCTCTTAAAGATTTACCTTGACCAAGATCTAATCAGATAGTAAAAGATATTCTAAGTTTTGGTTAATGGGTGATTTATGTTCATTGTGTTTGTTCTGACTGGCCTGGGAAAATGTTGATTCTCCCTATTATCAACACAGATGATATGGACATTGATATGTTTTTGATCAAGATTTGAGGGACCTAAGTCACTTACCCCATGATAACCCACCTCCCACTGTGTTAACCAATCAGGTGTTTAGGCATCTGTCAGGAACACCTCCTCTTTGAAGGGCATACAAACTGTGCCCCCAGGGCTATTAGGGGTCTTTGGTCTAGGGGAGATGGCCAAATGACTATCCTTTTAGTAATAACCCGCTGGCCTTATTAATAAAATAATTAAATTACCCAGAAACCATGTTTCTAAAACCTTTTCAATCATCAGTTTTCTTCTGGGTTGGTATGATCACCTGTGATCACCAAAGGCCCTGCTGAAATAAACTGAACCCAATACACGGGAAATTTAAGAGTAGGCTAAGCCAAACGAGTCATTGACTGTCACCTCATTATACTGCCAATAAAAAGCCTCAGCTTGGGAAGCCCAGCTCAATGCAAACATTGTGCCATTGCCAGCCTCCTTCCAAACTAAACTATTTGCTTCATGGCAAGAAATAGCTAACCCTCATTAGTTGGTTTATCCATATACCTCTCAGGCTGGGTCCTGGCCATACTGAACCTCTAACCTCCCTTTCACGGGCAGGATCTATACTGTCCATTGAACAGGACTGATGTTGAGAGCAGCTCCAGAACTTCATCATGTAGCTCCCCATAGTGGGGTGTCTGTAGCTCCCCCAGATCCTTTGAGATACTTGGAATCTTGGGATTTATCAGCCTCAAATATCTGAAACAGACAAGACAGGGATTAGAGCATTAGGCTAAGGGACACAGGTAGAAGAGGCCCTTTATTGAATACACTGTGCTGTCTACTGAGAGAGCCATTGCCCAAGTGTTTCTCTGAACCACAACATGGGTGTCATGTGAGGAAGAGGGTTCACAGGGTGCAAACAGAAAATGGTTCATCTGTAACCCTTTTACTTCACTCTGAGAGGTTTTTCTATCAAGACTTGGGAAAAGAACTTGGACTTGGCAGTGAGAAAGTGTGGGTTTCATCTCCCCACTTGGGGTGCCACAGAGCTCCCTTAAATCTAGAAGTTTCAGACACCTGCAGGTCTACATTGGCAGAGAGAGAGAGAGTGTGTGTTTCCTTACCAGAGTGTGCTGGAGTCAGTTTGTTTTGATTTCCATGGTGATTCTAGATCACAGTATCATAGAATCTCACATAGGAGGGAACCTTCCGGGCCATCTAAGTCCAACTCCCTCATTTAACCCTAAAGGAACGGATGCCCCAAAAGGGTCATACCAGCAGAGAGCATTGGAGCCTATGGTCTCAGATTCAAAATTGAGTGCTCTTTCTTTTTGTACTACAGCAAGAATCAGAGTTTTCAGAGCTGGATTTAAACATTGTCTAGTCCAATACCTTCATTTTGTAGACAAAGAAATGGAAGTTCAGAGACTTTAACAGAGTTGCTCAAGGTCATACCAGAAGTTATAGGGAATGATGGAATTAGGATCCTGTGTTCCTGACTCAGAGGAACTGTTCTTCCTACCCTAAAGAGATATGAGGTGTAGTGGATAGAGCCCACCTCCCCTTCAGAAAGACCTGGATTCAAATCCTGCCTCTGACACTAGTTGTATGGTTCTGGGCTAGTCACTGAACCTCTGTGAACCTCATTTTCTTCATCTATAAAATGAGTAGTTTGGATCAGATGGTCCCCATGGTCTCTTCCAGCTCTAAATCTCTTATCCTGTGATTGTTCGGTTATTAATGTACAGTAAGACCTTGATTAACTAGGAGAGGAGAAAAAACAACTCTGGAAATGTCACTGGACTAGTATTTTTTTCCTACACTTTGCTTTCAGAAGGTGAGAAGTTATAAGGTCTCTCTCTCTTCCTCTGTGCATATGTCTGTGTGTCCTTTTGTGTCTTTCTGTGTGTCTTTATCTTTCTGCTTGTCTGTCTCTCTCCATCTCTATCTCCCTCTGTCCTTCGATGCATATGTCTGTGTGTATCTTTCTATCTGTGTTCATCTGTTTGTCTAGCTCTGTCTCTTTGTCTGGCTCTCATATGCTCTGTCCCCTCCCCCCTCCTCTCTCACACACACATAGAAAATCTGCGTTTTAAGAAAAGAAAAAAAAAACGAAACCTGTTGTGGGCTTGGGAAAGATTTAGCCAAGCACTTCCTACACTTACAAAATTGTACCATGAGCCTTGACATTTAGACTAAGGGCCCTGGGTCTCAAGATCATCATTCAAAACAGATTCAAGTACATTCATCAAACTATGTTCTCACCAAGGCAAGAGCTTTTACTCACATGTTTTTTCAGTAAGTTTCTCAACAAAAAAGGTTATTTTTTTCTGTACTCTCAGTTAATAAGAAAATAAAAGGAAGGCATCCTGTTTCCAGTTAGTTGAGGTTATATTTTTGAACATAGGGCAGCTAGCTGGTGCAGTGGATAGATCGTCAAACCTAGAATGAGAAGACGTGAGTTCAAGTCCAGCCTCAGACACTTATAAACTGTGTGACCCTGGTCAATGTCTTCGCCTCAGTTTCCTCAGCTATAAAATGACCTGGAGAAGGAAATGGCAAACCACTGCAGTATCTTTGCCAAGAGAGAACCCCAGATAACGTCACAAACGACTCTCTTAACCTGTTTGCCTCGGTTTCCTCATCTTTAAGATGGAGATAATAATAACATTCCAACACAGTTGTGAGGAGAAAAAGAAATATAATATTTGTAAAGGGCTTTGCAGACATTAAAGCTCTAAACAAATGCTAGCTATTATTATTAAAACAGCATTTTTGTTTAAAATTTTTATTTAAAATGTTCTTTTTCAAAATAGCCACATTGAAAGCGGTAAAATTCAGTTACCCCTGCGTAACCAATACATGTACATATTTATGGGTATTTTTAAGGGGTACAAGTCATCTTTTTTAAAATAATGTATTTTTTCCTCAGTTACATGTCAAGAAAATTTTTAGCATTCATTTTTACAAGTTTTTGAGTTCTCAATTTTTCTCCTTCACTCCCTGCCTTCCTTTCTTCTTAAAATAGAAGGCAGTTCAATATAGTTTATATATGTATTATCATGTAAAAATACGTCTACTTTAGTCACAGTTGTGCAGGAAGAAATGGTACAAGTCATCTTTGAGCATTCATAGGATCACTGAATTGTGAACTAAAAGAAACATCTGGGGATTATCTAGTCCAGCTCCTTCGTTTTAAAGGGAAGGACAGGAGAAGGCACAGAGCAGTGAAGAGGGCTCTCCAAGTTGGTCAGGAATAGAGCTAGGAGGATTCTGCCTCCCAAGCCAGCACTGTGTCACTCTATTATGTAGATGAAAAAATGATACTATTGACATTTGTCCTCCCCTCAGTGGGCACCATTATGCTTTCTTGTTTTCTCCCCTAGTAGTGGGTAGAAAGGAAATAACAGCTCATGTTTATGCACAAATTCTACAGTGACTAAAATGCTTTCATACAAGCCATCTCACTTCCACCCCAAAAAGATAGTTACTGGTGGGGTTTTACTCTGACTTTTACAAATGCAGACGTTAAGGCTTAGAGAGAAGCTAAGTCACTTTCTCAGGTCACACAATTAGTAATTAGTAGAATCCAGACTGTAACTGAAGTCTTCTAATCCAGTCCCAGGCTTTTCCTACTTCAAATACCTCATAGACCTTGTCATGGCAGATGCATTTATCAGGGACTCTCACAAGGTCTGCCACTCTCCAAGCAAGTCCAAATGACTGAGGACTGTTGCCAGGCTTCTCCCTCATCTTTATTTCCTATGCTGGTCCTAGTTTCCAAACTTCTGGGGATTGTGATAGAAGTCACTGACATTAAAATGGTGAAACAATGATCAGTTTCTAGCTTCTAAGAGGAAATCTACTTTGTTCCAGATGTTCCAGATTCTAGGAGCATCAATGAATCAACAAACATTTAAGGGCCTGATGTATGCCAGGCACAGTCCTAGGTACTGAGGATGCAAAGACAAAAGTAAAACAGTCCTTGCCCTCGAAGAGCTTAGAATCTAGGGAGATATGTGTATGTATGTACAAAATAGATAGAAGATAATTTTGGGGGAAGGCATTAGCATCTGGTAGGTGAAGGTCATGAAAGGCACCATGGCATCTGAGCTGAAAGGCAGATTGCAAGAGGCAAAGATGAAGAGGGAGTACATTCCAAGCATGAGGACCAGTCACTGCAAAAGTGTGGAGGGAGCAGATGGAGTCCTGTGTATGATGAAGAGTAAGAAAGAGCTGGGATCTTCTACCTGTTTTTATTTTTTCTAGTTATGCTACATTGTTGTATGTGGGAGGGAGAATATCGTGAGGAAAACATTTGATCCAACTGGGAAGTGATTGAATAAATTACTATGTACTCATATATTACAATATTATGGCCCATAAAACCACCACTATGAAGACTTCAAAGAAACATGGAAGGCCCTATTGAAGGAATGCCAAATGAGCTAAGCAGAATTAGAAAAGCAAATTAAGAGAAAACAACAGCAGAGGATTGGTTCTTTTTAAATAGAGAGAATCAGAAGGAGACAGCAAATATACCATTTTGATTTTGAGTTTGTAAACAAATATATATGTTTTTGAGCCAAAGTTAAATAATTTAAATTTCAGGGTTTTTTGGGGGGTTCATTCCATATTTGGTTAGATTATTTATCAGTAGTTCTTGCAAAAACTAAATTTTAAAAAGGTTGGTAAATGAGGGGGCTTTGGCTAAGATGAGGAGGGAGGGCAAGATAAAGTTTAGAACTTGTCCACTAGACTACAAATTCTTAGGGTAAGCTTGCTGAGTATATACTTATAAGTGTTGAGGATTGGGCAAGCCTTTTGTTGAGGATACTAAAAAAAAGTAAAGAAGGACCTGGAGGATTCAGGAGGAGACATGAAAATAAAAATGGTCCAAACACAAGCCCTAGGTCATTTACTTTGGTTTAATGATGTTCTATAACCACGCTGCCTCCACACTATAAATATTAATTATCAGAGACAAAATTAAGTTCCTGTTTTTTTCTTGTTTCTATAGTACCATGACACACATTGCAAGCCTACAGGGAAGGCATTCCAGAATTTGATTGTTATTACCTTAATTGGTACCCATTAAATGGGTGGAATGTTATCGTTTGGGGAAAACCTAGATAATGAGCATTCTTACCCATTCCTGGCCTGTGATCTTCATTCCCCTCATTGCCTCTGTTTTCCAAAGTCAAACAAAATGTCAGTTTACCTCGATCTAGAGTAGAGTCATAGATCTTTAGGGATGAAAGGGACCATAGAGGTCATCAGGTCTAGCCTTTGCTTGTAAAAGATGGAGAAGTTGAAGGCCCCAAGAAGTAAAAAGGACTTGCTCAAGGTCACAAAATTAGGGGCAGAACATACACTAGAGCTCATGTATCCCAACTCTCTTTCCAATGATCTACCATGGTACTGTGTGACACACCCCGAGGGACACCATGGAAACATCTATGGGATCTATCTCTTTAATCATTTGAGTTATTCTATTGGTAGGATACAGATGCCATCATTTTACAGTAGAATTTAAGCTCAGAGCATAATAGCTATTTTCTGTTTTCTCTTTGGATGTCCCTATTGCCCAAGCCCAGTGCATTGCACAAAAGAGGTGCTTAATAAATGCTTGTAAAATTGAATCTGTGCAGTGCTTCTGCAGTTTTCAAAGCTCTTTTATTCCAATTTGTTTTCCCCATTTGATCCTCCTGATAACAGCAGTACTGTGACTTTAGCACCTAGAACATTAGGTGCTTTCACATAGTAGGTACTTAATAAGTATTTATTGAACTGAATTAAATGAGGTAAAATATATATGTATTAGTAGCCCCTTATTGACAGATGAGGAACCAGACAGGTATAAGTAGGGGAAATATTTTCAGGGGTGTCTTTGGTGCCTGACTTCTGTTATATTGGTGAGAAGTAAAGAAGATAGTATAAGAAAAACAGAGAACGCAGGAATAGAACTAACATCATGAAATGTTGCTTGCTGTGCCTCTGTAGTGGCAGAAAAGAGAATAATTATATAGGAAAATGTGCATTAAGTTGTACATGAAGCACATCAGCTATTAAGGTAAAAGAGGACATTATCGTGTCCTGATGCTTAGGAGTCCTCATATCTACCTACCACCCAACTGCCAAAATAACTT